TAGGAAATTCTACAATGAAATCCATAGACAAGTGGGACCATGGGACCTCAGGAATGGGAAGAGGTTGTAACAAGGCACAAGGGAGTTTATGAGGTACTTTGGAAACCGCACAAACAGAACATGCCTGCACATACTCCTTAACATTCTTCCTGAGGGAATCCCACCAGAATGACCTCATGATAGCAAAAGTGTATTTATTAATACCTGGGTGACCAGCAGCCACATTGTCATGAAACACCTTTATGATATTAACCCTTTCCCCCAACAAAACAAACAATTTGTCCTGAGGTTTACCGCAGGGCGCCTGGGACTGAGCCTCCATGATGGAGCCAAGCAGTGGAGAGGACAATGAAAGGATAGTGGAAGCAATGATACATTCCAGGGGAATGATATGGGACTTTTCTTGCTCTTGTATAGACTCAATATCAAACTGTCTGGATAAGGCATCGGCCTTGACATTTTTAGAACCAGGTCTATAAGTAATAAGAAAATTAAAGCAAGAAAGGAAAAGACACCACCTAGCTTGTCTAGAAGACAATCGTTTAGCATCTCCTATGTAAGCCAGGTTTTTGTGATCAGTAATGATCAAAAGGGGGTCCTTGGAACCCTCTAAAAGATGTCGCCACTCCTTGAGAGCTAGAATAATGGCCAACAATTCCCTATTGCCAATATCATAATTGCGCTCCGCAGCCGGCAGGAGACAACTTTCTAGAGAATTAACCACAAGGATGCAATGGAGTATCCTGGCTCTTCCTCTGGGAGAGAACTCTGATGCATCAACTTCCAGTATGAAAGGTTTACTGGTGTCAGGATGTATCAATATGTCAGTGGAGGCAAACCACTGTTTGAGAGTTTCAAAGGCTTCTATAGCCTCCTTAGACCATATCGTACTGCTAACCCCCTTCCGTGTCATTATGGTGATGGGGGCTATTACTGAAGAAAATCCCTTTATAAACCTTCTGTAATAATTGGCAAAACCAATGAACCTTTGAATAGCTTTCAATCTAGTGGGTAAAGGCCATTGTAGAACCGATTCCAGCTTTTTAGGATCCATCTGAAACCCCGAGGCAGAGATATAATATCCCAAAAACTGTACTTCAGATTGGTCAAAGATGCATTTTTCTAATTTACAATAAAGTTGATTCTTTAACAAGGTCTGCAGAACTTGTCTAACGTGATCGTGGTGAGTCTGAATGTCAGGAGAATAAATAAGGATATCATCCAGATAGACCAAGACAAACAAGTAAATGTAATCCCTGAGTACATCATTTATGAAACCTTGGAGCATTGCACAACCTGAATGGCATCACTAGATATTCATAGTGTCCACTTCTGGTATTAAATGCAGTCTTCCACTCGTGGTTTTCCTTGATTCTCACTAAATTGTAAGCACTTCTGATATCAAGCTTAGTAAATACTTTAGCGCCTTGGAGTCTATCAAATAATTCAGCAATAAGAGGAATGGGGTAGGCGTTCTTAATGGTGATTTTGTTCAATGCCCTGTAATCGATACATGGGCGCAACTCACCGTCCTTTTTAGATTTAAAAAAGAATCCTGCCCAGCAGGTGAGGATAATTTTCGTATATGGACTTTATTCAATGAATCCTTAATATATTCCTCCATTACTCTACTCTCCTGAGGTGACAGAGCATAGACTGCTCCCTTAGGTGGCATAGCACCGGGTAGTAAATTAATGGAACAGTCATAAGGTCTGTGAGGAGGTAGAGTATTCGACTGAGTTTTGCTGAATACTTCTTTAATGTCTTGGTACTCTATAGGGATTTCCGGATTTTGAGGTGTACTAGTGGGTAATCCAATAGTGCCCACTCTTTTGGCAACATTCAATATACACCTTTCATAACAATCCTTACCCCATTCTAATATTTCCCCATTAGCCCAGTCAATATGAGGGTTATGCTTGTTAAGCCATGGAAAGCCTAATATGATCGGACAGGAAGGGGATGCCATAACCTGAAATGTAATCTCTTCCTTATGTAAGGCACCAATGGACAAATTAATGGGTAAGGTTTTGTGTGTAGTCAATGGTGTTGAGAGTGGTCTCCCATGAATAGCTTTAACACCTAGGGGTGATAGTCTCTTCTTGATAGGTATAGTATTACCTTTAACAAATTGAACGTCGATGAAGTTTCCAGCGGCACCTGAATCCATCAGGGCTTTGCATGAAAAGTTCTTCTTTGCAAAGGCAATAGAAATATCAAGAAGAAACCTATTTTTATCCATTCCAAAGGACGTTTCTATTACAGACCTGTCCCCTTAAGGTGCTTAGGTGCGGTAGTTTTCTGGACGTATAGGACAATTGTTTCTCATATATCCTTTTCTACTACAGTATAGACATAGGCCTTTTTTTCTCCTATATTGTCTCTGTTTCCGACAGTCTAGCGACCCCCAACTGCATCGGTTCGGGTTCACACTGTACAGGAAATTCAGAGACAATAGGTTTGGAGAAGTGGGGTGCTAAAGGTATATTCATGTGTCTGGTCTTGTTTCTAGTAGCTTCTCTGGTTTTCAATCTATTATCTATGACAAAAGTGATAAATTAATTAAGTGTTTTGGGTAAGTCTTTGGCGGCAATCTCATCTAGCATAGTTTCAGATAGTCCCTTTTTAAATGCAGAGATTAACCCACTATTAGTCCAGTCTACCTACGAAACTAGGTCACGAAAATTCTATGGCATACTCCGAGATAGACCGGTTCCCTTGTCTGATATGCATCAAGGCAGTAGAGTCTTCCTCCCTGCCTAATGGTTCAAACGTAAGTTTAAATTCCGTAATAAACTCCTGGTAATTGCCACACTCCTATTATTCTCCCATAATGGATTGACCCAAGCTAAAGCTTTACCTTTTAATTGATTCACCAGGTAACCAATTTTAGCTCTGTCTGTGGGAAAAGAGGCCTCAAAATGATACTCTATTTGGTTAAGGAATCCCCGGCATTCTTGGAAATTACCATCAAAATGCAGAGGAGGAGATAGAGAGATAGTTGGTGCCTTGTATACTATAGGCGGAGGTACACAAGGCGGAGGTGAGACAGTAGGAGGATCCTTGAATCTCCAGCAATGTTAACCATCTTGCTTTACCTTCCTGATCTGTTTTTGATTTGCTAATGAATACTTTCACTTTCCTATCACTAACTATAATATCCTCCCATTGTAATCCTGATAAACAAAATTTACTCTTAGCTACTAACTCACTCATTCTTAAGGCTGCGAAAAATGCTATTATAAACGAACATCTAAGTAAAACTAACTCATACGCAGAATAGCATACCTCTTTCAAAACTGCAAATACCTGTGATAGAACTGCAAACGATATTGGTTTTCTATTATCCCTAACTCTACTAGCTCTTCTATAACCTCGAACTAACTGATTTACTATGAAATACTGTTTAATTGGCTTACAATCACACAGTTTCCTAAAGAAATCCACCCCAGCTAAATTACAAGCTAACTTGGACTTAGAAAAACCTCTCTGCATTGAAACCAATGTAAATTGTATTGCACTCTCCTTATCCTCTCCAAACCGATCTTTATTATTTAACTTATTACAATTGAACCACTAATTCCATGCCCTAACATATGCACTCCATGTAGAAGCTGCTACCGAGTTCATCAGCATAACACTTAAATGTTCCAAATCAAATCACTTATCAAAAAAATACTGTCCATTAAATTTAAAACCTAGCGAATTTAAAGATTCGGGATGAATCGGTAAAAGTCGAAAGGCAGCTTCTATATCCCCTTTTGCCATCAATGCACCCCTTCCACATTTTCTTACTACGTTTAAAGCATTATCAAAAGTTCAGTAAGACACTGAACTTTCTTCTTTAGAAATCATGTCATTTCAATATCTCCCTTAGGGTATGATAGGTGATGTATTAATCTATATGACCCACTTTCTTTCTTCGGTACCAAACCCAAAGGGGATAAATGAAAACATTTAAACGGGGGAACATTGAAAGGGCTCCTTAAATCTCCCTAGCTCTAACTCTTTACAAATCTTTTCCCAGGCTAAACTTGGTAACTCTAAAACTGATTTTAAATTTTCAACCCAACATAATTCAACAGAACTATATACAGGTAACCTGAAACCATTCTCAAAACCTTCTTTAATTAACTTTGCTTTCTCCTGGTTTGGATAGATTGCAAGATAAGGTAGTAGTAACCTTACCAGTTTTACTGAGCTTTTTGGAAATGTACCACTTTGCTGGCCTCTTTCATAGCAACGAAAATTAGGGTGAGCACCTGAACAGGTAGCGCATTCGTGCCGGAATCTGCAATTATTTAGCCACTTACATTGGGATTCGTTATAAGCCCAGCAAAAGCCTTTTTTTCTGTGCAGCACTTGTAATCTGCTTATTAACAAAATTAGTCTGTCTCTGAGGTAACATCATGCTCACCCAAAGTCCGACATCCTTCATACCCCATTTAAGGTTACTATGAACCGCTAGTTTCTGTCTGAATTGTTCATCATAATAAAACCATGACAAACCCCCCCAAATTATTATATGCTTCCAATATAGCTTCTGCATGTTGAAACACCACAGCACAATTCCGGATATGTTTCACCTAACACACTAACAGAAATGCAAAAAGCTTGCAGCCAAATATTGAATGACCTAGGAATGAACTTTTTTCTTTCATCATCCCCTTTTTCCCTATCCGGTTTAGTAAATTCTTTTGCTGTGGGCAACAATGATAAAATATAAATATAATTAAATTTACATATCCTATCTTTTATTGATTTACTTAAATGAAAACCCAAAGGTGAGCTTTCACAGCCAAACGCTTCTTTAATGCATGTTTCTTTTACTCTAACTTCTTCCCTCACAGAATGGGTCACTTTCAAATTAACTGTGACCACTTCTGTATTCTGCTCCCATACACCTGCCAATTTAGGTGTCTGCAATAATTTAGTAAGTTTTTCAAGTGAAGACACCACTTTGCTTAAAACAGCATTATTCAGAATAGTTTGTAACTCACCCAGCTCATGACTGCAACCCGAGATATCCTGAGCCGCTTCGCTTTCTTCGAATAGCCTAGGTCTGTCCTCAGCCTCTTTATTCTTCTTCTTTTGTTTGTATTTTCTGCTTGTTTCCACATCCTTTTCTTGTTCTTTATTGGAGACGTTGAGAAAGTTTCCCTGGACCTTTTCGTTCTTGTCTCACAAATCCTGCAGGGGTCGCTAAAACCAGATTTTTCTGCTTGTACTGGCCCTTTAATTTTCAGAGGAGAATATCCCGTTCCCTCCTCCATTATTAACTCCTCCTGTAACTCTGCTCCTTCTTCTTCCTCTACTTCAATTAGACCCGAGGGTTTAGGGGCGAACTCCAAACAAGCTTGCAGCCATGCAGTATCACTGCAGCCTAACGCCTTCTGTTTAAGATGTTCCAACAAAGCCTCAGTTGTGCCAGACATCTCCACAGGTAAAAAACAGCAGCTCAAATATTTGAATACAGCCAACCTTCAGATTTGTCTGGCACAATCTGAGGTAATTAATTTTGGAACCTTTAAATTTATACCCCTTATTTTCCCTCCACTGTGGTCCTCGTGCTGCTATCTACCAATCAGGGCTCATGCCCTGGTCACGAGCTTACCGCCTTTCTAATAGCGCGAGCTGCCCTGCTGTTAACCTAGCCCTGCAGTTACGAGCGCTATACTTACCACCAACTTCCCTCCATCAAACCTCATGAGGCTGCTCCTTATGCAGTCCGCGGGCCCAACATTGTGAGGATTGGCCAACCTCAGGCCCGTTTACACCCTGGAGAGTGATCCGGGATAGTGAAGTATCCATATTGGTAATTATATTGAAGAACGTTTTAGTCTAAAACTGGAATTGTTTTGGCAGTTACATTGAAGGAACACTGTACCATATTAAATATGTATTTGTAGTTTATTTTTGTCCATGTTTGCATTTAGACTCAGGTCATTGAATGAAAAGCATCGATGGCCCTACAGTGCATACATGGCAATTATGCTGCACCAATCAAGACGCATTACAATGCTTCTCTATGGGAGAGCTTTACTGCCAACATGAAAACTATAAATTTTTTTACATTCTTCACATCAAATTGCCTCTAGGGAATTGCCTCTAGAGACACATTGACTGACAAATGTAAACATTGATATTTCTCAAAATGCTCAGAAAGGTATTATAAGGTTGTGTATTGTACTTAACAGCAGCAATTGCATGTGGAAGTATGCTATCCCACATACTAGACATACAATTGTCACTGGTGCCCCCTTAGACAAAGAGTGCACATAACTGTAATTGGTATCTCCTCTTGGTTTTCACCTGGAGACTACCTCACTGCCCAGTACCCCTGGCACCTAAAACCTAGACCTTTAGCTTGGCACATCATAATGAGGAAGTCAGTGGCGTACACATGACCCATGGGGCCTTGGTGCGAAAATTGATCCGTGGGCCCCCCCCCCGCAACACATGGTGGGCACCTGGTCGCAGGGGTTGCAGGGCTGCTACCCCGCGAACGCGGTATGCACACACACTTAAAGGACCACTGCAGACACCCAGATCATATCAGCTCAATGAAGTGGTCTGGGTGCCAGGTCCCTCTAGTTTTAACCCTGTAGCTGAAAACATAGCAGATTCAGAGAAACAGCTATGTTTCACTGAGGGTTAATCCAGCCTCTGGTGGCTGTCTCATTGACAGCTGCTAGAGGAGCTTCCGCGATTCTCACTGTGAAAATCACAGTGAGAAGACACTGAGCGTCCATAGGAAAGCATTGAGTAATGCTTTCCTATGGGCGGTTTAAATGCGCGCGCGCCTCTTGCCACGCATGTGCATTCGGAGCTGAGAGGCGGAGGGATCCCCAGCGCCAAGGGAGTCAGACGCTGGAGAAAGGTAAATGCTGAAGACACACACTCTCACATACAGACGCATGCACACTAGCTAACAGACACACACATTTACTGACAGAGACACACTCAGCGACAGACATACATACACACTCACTTACAAAACATACACTTTCACTGACAAATACACACTCACTAACAGACATCAAACACACTCAGTAACAGACACACACAGTAACACACCCACTAGCAGACACACACCCAATAACAGACACACTCACTGACACAAACACTAACACACAAACACACACACTAACACACACACACTAACACACAAACACACACACTAACACACACACACTAACACACAAACACACACTAACACACACACACTAACACACACACTAACACACACACACTAACACACTGGGATTAAAAAAATTAATCCCCCCAGCCTCCTTACCTTTTGGAGAGCTGAGGGGATTCCCTGGGGTCCAGTGGTGCTGCTGGGCATCGCGCCCCGCATAGTGATGCCGGAGCCGGAAGATGACGTCATCTTCCGGCTCCGGTATCAGTGTGGTGCGCGAGGGAGCTGAAGAGGAAGCACAGAGGGGAGAGTGCTCCCTCGCACGCCGGCCACCCAGCCCACCCGCCCGCCGGGGTCAGCAGGGCCAGCCTCGGGGGGTGTGGCCCTGAGGTGGCCGCCTCCTGGACTCCCAAGGAGAAGAGGCTGGCCCTGTGGGTACATACCAGGTCGCAGGGGCGGCCGGGCCCCCTTGTGGGCCCAGTCGCACGCGCGACCCCTGCGACCCTGGTATGTACGCCACTGGAGGATGTTTACTTACTCATTATTTCTACATTTAAAGCAGCACTGTCATTGCCGCATCCTGTTTTTTTTTTTTAACCCCCTCCCGACTCCACTACATCTAATTGTACCCCTAGTCACCCCTAAATGCCCCTAAGCCCATAGTACTTATTTTTTTATCTTTATTTCATGCCCGGACACCGTCTTTGTGTGGGCAGTTGAAGTCCCTGTGGGACACGTCATCTGCCGACACCCAATAGCGCTGTGAAATTCCCTCGCATGCCCAGTTAAACACTGGGGCATTTGCTATTGTCGAAAATTTGGACAGGAATTTCATCTATTCATTCATTCGTCAAAAAGACGAAGGAATGAATAGAAATTAAGGATGAACAAACAAACACCAAATATCAACTCCCTCCTTGTAATATGTAAAAATAGATGCGTCAGGGAGCTGTGCTCCCCGCCACTTCCTAAGCCCTCATGTCCGGCGCATGAGGAGCAGAGGATAGGGAGGTGGGCATCTTGGTGTTTTGTCTCATATGTTCGCCTCATGAATTCATGTTTCCCTCCGCAGGTGCGACTCCCCCCAGAGTCTGGGTGATCGGGCACTCGTATGTATTCTGGGCCAGGAGGCGTGCGGCTGTCCATCTGGGAGGTGAGCTATTGGGTTTTACTCCTTCTGAAGCGGAGGTTTGGTGCCAGGAGTATGAAATAAGTTCAGCCCCTCCCGGAGTTGGTTCAGTTCTCCCGCCTTCTGGGTGTGCCGAGCGTTCTAGTTATCCACCTGGGGGATAATGATCTCGGGACAATGTCTATATGGGGGCTGGCAGATGCTATTAAGAGGGACTTGGCACGCATCTTAGTTCTGTTCCTTGACGTGCGACTCATTTGGTCGGAGGTCATTTCCATAACTACTGGCAGCGGGACCATAATCAGAGAGCCATGGAACGCTAACTAAATAGGAGGGTCTCTAAGTTTGTCTTGACATCTAATTTGTTTTGGGGTGAAGTTCACATAATGGAGGTCGGGCTGGACCTTTTTAATCTTGCTATCCAGGAAACGGTTTGGGTGGGGCCCCCCGCTGATTTTAGCCTTAAAACAGCGGGGTTGTGGCGGCGGGCGTGTCCTCCGTTATTCTTATTTGCATCACATTCCCCACTATGTCCATACAAGGCCCTGGGGAGATAGCACAGCTAAGCGACAAGGGCACATGTATGAGTGTGGGGATGGATGCTTGTGATTGGTGGTATGTGTGTATGGGAGTGGTTATGTGTTTGGGAGTGGTGTAGGGATCAGCTTACCTCAGTGCCTCCTGGGAGACAGGTAACATCCCTCCCACCCATCCTCTTTTCTGTTTGTTATTGTTCCTGTCACAGCTAGCGGGGCGTGTCCTTGCCAATAGGTTTTGGGGGCTTTTACATTGAGTGTCAGGATATGGACAAGGTCAGGTCTCAACCTCCACTGCTCTGTAGCGTAAACTTTTAAGTTACTGACTTGGACATGCCCACCGAGCATTAAAAGGAAAAGAGAATTTGATTTGGATAAGAGGGGAGGCGAGAACCCAGTGGGCAAGTTGGTCTCTTTCATTGGCAAGGACAGTTATGCTAAGTCTGTAGGACCTAGGTGTTAATTTATATGTTAAGTTATTGATTATTTATGTATTTATCTCTGGTTATAATTAAATGATAAAGTTAATAAATGTTGGATGAGTCCTACAGTGTTTAATAAATGCTGTGGCCTGTTTCTTCCCAAAGTTTCTGTCGTTATTTGGGGATATTTGGGGTAGGCTCCGTTATTCTTATTTGCACCACATTTCCCGCTATCCATACATGAAGGATAGCATAAAATCTAGCCTAATAAAAGTTAGTGAGGCGAACAAAGAGCCTGTTTCGGTTACATTAGAATTTGGTAATCACATAGTAACTCGTGTAGGTGTGATTTATACAAATAGAAGAGTTAGATAATCTTCTAGTTGAGGAAATAGCTAAAATGACAACGAAGGGGGAAATTATCATCATGGGTGACTTTAATCTTCCTGATGTGAACTGGGAAACCAAAATAGCTGCTTGTGCCAGGAGCACACATATTCTAAACTTCCTACTAGGATTGTGTCTAAAACAAGTCATTGAGGAGCCAACTCATAAAGAGGCCATAGAAGATTTAGTGTTAACAAATTGAGATTTGGTATCAGATATTACTGTAGGTAAAAGTTTAGGATCCAGTGATCATCAGTCAGTGTGGTTTAATACAAGGACAGTGAATGGGTCACACCACACAAAAACAAAAGTTTTAGACTTTAGAAAAACAGACTTTTCTAAAATTAGAATATCTGTCATTATCAGACTGGAGCAGTTCAAATGGAGTCCAAGAGAAATGGGATTATTTAAAAATTGAACTGCTGAAGGCAACAGAAAATTGTATTAGGCTTGTCAGTAAAAGCAAAAAATTTAGGAAACCACTGTGGTACTCCGCAGAAGTGGCCAAAATAGTTAAAGGACCATTATATTCACCCAGGCCACTTCAGCTCAATGAAGTGGCCTGGGTGCCAGGTCCCTCTAGTATTAACCCTGCAGCTGAAAACATAGCAGTTTCAGAGAAACTGCTATGTTTACACTAGGGTTAATCCAGCCTCTAGTGGCTGTCTTACTGACAGCTGCTAGTGGTGCTTCCGCGCTTCTCACTATAAAAATCACAGTGAGAAGACACTGGTTGACCATAGGAAAGCATTGAGAAATGCTTTCCTATGGGCGGTTTGAATGCGCACGCGGCTCTTGCCGCCCATGCACATTCTGCATCGATGTCGGCAGAGGGAGGAAAGTTCCCCAGCATCAAGGGAGCCCAGCGCTGGAGAAAGGTAAGTGTTTTAACCCCTTCAGCCCCCTTCAGCCCAGTGGGAGTGGGAGCCTGAGGATGGGGGAACTATAGAACCACTATAGAACCAGGAAAACTAGTTTCTTTTCCTGGCACTATAGTGGCCCTTTAACAACAAAAAGTTAGCATTTAGTAATTTTAAAAAGCCCAGAAAGATAGACAGATTTATGAGATTAGGCAGAAAGAGGCTAAGCACAAGAGCTTCCACATCACACACATAAGAGAAAATAGAACAGTCAGTAAAAAAAGGGGACAAAACATTTTTAGATACATTAAATCAGAAAAGGAAAGTAAAACAAGGATTAGTTAGATTAAAAACAAAAGAGGGAATGTATGTAGAAGGGAATAATGGTCTAGCTGACTGCCTCAATTAATATTTTTGTTCTGTGTTTACAGATGAAAATGAAGGAAATGGACCTCAGTTAGGAAAAGGGCCAAATGAGTAATTTGTAACATGAGTTTACAGAGGAAAAGGTTCTATTTCAACTGTCAAAAGTAAAGACAAATACGTCAAGGGGGCCTGATGGAATACACCCAATGTTATTAAAAGAGCTTTGTGGTGTACTAGCAAAACCATTAACATATTTATCTAACCAATCATTGTTAACAGGAGTAGTCCCAGAAGATTGGAAGTTAGCAAATGTTGTGCCCATTCACAAGAAAGGTAGTAGGGAGGAGTCGGGCAACTATAGGCTAGTAAGCCTTACTTCAGTAGTGGGGAAAGTAATAGAAAACATGTTAAAGTATAGGACTGTTGAACATCTAAAATCAAATGGATTTCAAGATCAGAGACAACATGGCTTTTCTTCTGTGAGGTCATGTCAAAGCAATCTTATTGATTTTTTTGATTGGGTAACTAAAATAATAGATCAGGGTGGTGTAGTAGACATTGCTTACCTAGATTTCAGTAAGGCTTTTGACACTGTTGCACATAGAAAGCTTATCAATAAACTGCAATATTTAAGTTTGGATTCCAATATTGTTGAATGGGTAAGGCACCGACTGAGTGACAGGCAACAGAGGGTTGTAGTCAACTGAGTATATTCAGGGTATGGGGTACCTGTACTTGGCCCCATTCTTTATAATAATTTATTAGTGATATTGCAGAAGGTCTCGATGGTAAGGTATGTCTTTTTGATGATACTAAGATATGTAACAGGGTTGATGTTCTATGAGGGATAAGCTACATGGCAAATGATTTATGTAAACTAGAAAAATGGTCAGAGTTGTGGCAGCTGACATTTAATGTGGATAAGTGCAAGATAATCCAAGGGCAGGGTACGGAATATTTGATAGAGTCCTAACCTCAACATCTGAGGAAATGGATTTAGGGGTAATTATTTCAGATGACTTAAAGGTAGGCAGACAATGTAATAGAGCAGTGGGAAATGCTAGCAGAATGCTTAGTTGTATAGCATTAGCAGTAGAAAGAGGGAAGTGCTCATGCCATTGTACAGAACACTGGTGAGACCTCACTTAGAGTATTGTACGCAGTACTGGAGACCGTATCTCCAGAAGGATATTGATACTTTAGAGAGAGTTCAGAGAAGGGCTACTAAACTGGTTCATGGACTGCAGGATAAAACTTACAAGGAAAGGTTAAAGGATCTTAATATGTATAGCTTGGAGGAAAGATGAGATGGGGGGATATGACAGAAACATTTAAATACATAAAGGGAATCAACACAGTAAAGGAGGAGACTATTTTTTAAAGATGAAAAACTACCACAACAAGAGGACATTAAATTAGAGGGGCAAAGGTTTAAAAATAATATCAAGAAGTATTACTTTATTGAGAGGGTAGTGGATGCATGGAATAGCCTTCCAGCTGAAGTGGTAGAGGTTAAAGGACCATACTCATTTTCCTGGCACTATAGTGCCCCACTCTCAGGGTCCCCCTCCCGCCGGGCTCTGGGGAGAGGAAGGGGTTAAAATCTTACCTTTCTCCAGCGCCAGGCGGGGAGCTCTCCTCCTCCTCTCCTCCTCCTCTACTCCTCAATAGCGACATCATCGGCTGAATGCGCATGCGCAGCAGGAGCCGCGCGCGCATTCAGCCAGTTCATAGGAAAGCATTCACAATGCTTTCCTATGGACGCTGGTGTCTTCTCACTGTGATTTTCACAGTGAGAAGCACGCAAGCGCCTCTAGCGGCTGTCAAGAGACAGCCACTAGAGGCTCTATTAACCATATTATAAACATAGCAGTTTCTCCGAAACTGCTATGTTTATAAAAAAGAAAAAGGGTTAATCCTAGATTGACCTGGCACCCAGACCACTTCACTAAGCTAAAGTGGTCTTGGTGCCTATAGTGGTCCTTTAACACTGTGAAGGAGTTTAAGCATGCGTGGGATAGAGAAAATAATTTCTATGCAGGGTGTAAAGAAGTACTGAAGCAAAGGAGAACGTAATTGAAGTTTTGTATTGCTTATGGCAACATCACCTTCACAATATCAGGCAGTATGTTATAGTTATCTCCTTTTAAGTACCGTATATACTCGTGTATAAGTCGATCTCATGTATAAGTCGAGTGCAGTTTTGTGACCAACAATTGTGAAATATGCTATGCCTCGTGGATAAGTCGAGGGTAAAACGTGGGGCTATGAAATTCTGTGATTTTTATAATTATATACATACACACTCATACAAACACACACTCTGCATTATATATATACACACACACACACACACACACACACACTCATACAAACACACACTCTGCATTATACACACACACTCATACAAACACACACTCTGCATTATACACACACACTCATACAAACACACACTCTGCATTATATACACACACTCTGTGTATATAATGCAGAGTGTGTATATAATGCAGAGTGTTTGTCTGTGTAGTGTGTGTGAAGTGGGTGGGGGGAGGGCATTTTTATTATTTAAAAAAAAATTATTTTAATATTATTATTTTTTTATTATTTTAATTTTTTTTGTCCCCCCTCCCTGCTTGTTAACTGGTCAGGGAGGGGGGCTATCTTAATCCCTGGTGGTCCAGTGGCATGGGCTGTGAAGTGGGGGGGCCGGCAGGAGGCATTTACTTACCTTTCCTGCAGCTCCTGTCAGCTCCCTTCTCCTCCGTTCTGGTCAGCTCCACTGTAAGTCTCGCGGTCTGGTTGCCGCGCGGATCGTTGCCATGGCTCTGACGGCCGCGGCTCTCTAAGTTGCCATAATACAGACAGTGACTCGAGTATAAGTCGAGTGGGGGTTTTTAAGCACAAAAAATGTGCTGAAAAACTAGACTTATACTCGAGTATATACTGTATATTGCAGTAGTCCTACATCCCTGGAGTTGTGACACTCCCTTAATTGTATTTCCACCAGTAATGCTCAGTTCCTCTGTGATTAAATAATACCTCTACCACTCAGCTTCATAGAATGTCAAATGGATATCCAGTCAATTTAGCACAATTATTATGTGCATCAAATGTCCATCCTCCAAAGAAGTAGTATTTAAGGTGATGTTAAACGTACAGGCCACATAACTAGCAGTTGGTGACTAAACATATTAGAGGTTCCTTTTCCTCATTTTAATAGAAGAGATGTGGGACTGGTGCACAAAGAGACCTACAATGGGACCTAATTAGGGTTTTTGGTAAAAAAAAATTTTTTTTTAACAGATTCTCTTAAACTGTTGGATTAGTAATTTGTAAAAATCATACATTAAACAAAAATAACTAAAATATGTATTAGTTGAATGTATTTGCCGAATATCAAATATAAAATAAGTCCAAAAAAATCAAGTAAAAATTATATACTAAACATGGATTATCAGGATTGTAAAATCTAAACCATTTCCAAAGCAGAAATTTTTATGTGCTGCATGGTTTTCATTACGTGTTAGTTTTACCATCTGATTCCTTAAATCATAGTTATTTTTGTGTGAAAAAATTGACAGCATGTAATCTACACAAATGCAAATATGCATTTTATTATCATCTTTTGGACAGCATTTCACTAACAAGGAATCTATGATAAAAAGAAATACTGTATATAGGAGACATAATAACCAGTATAAATCATGAAATGCGATACACTCACATTTAAAAAAACAACAAACAAATACAACACAAAACTTCATGCTATTTACTAACACAGCTTGAGATTTGAAAACTAGTGGCTCTGTCACCTCACATGTTAATGAAGTACTTTCTGAAATCAGGAAAATTGACATTGCACTTAAAGGGACACTATAGTCACCAAAACAACTTTAGCTTAATGAAGCAGTTTTTCTATTCAGATGATGACTTTAAATTCACTGTCATTTAGGAGTTAAATCACATTTGTTTATTTTCATGCAGCCTAGCCACACCTCCCCTGGCCGTGACTGACACAGCCTACCTGTAAACAAAATGGTTTAATTTTTAATCAGTTGTAACTTCATTTAAAAGTTTTTATCTGCTACTCTTTAAATTACTGACATATATATATATATACACACATACATACATACATACATACATAGATATATACACACATACATACTGACAAACAGATATACACAAACAGACATACATACATGCAGACACATACATACATTCTGATATACATACACACATACAGACATACACCTAATTTTTCAGCCACCCTCCTGCTCCTTACCTTTAAGTTGCAGGAGGGTGGCTGGGGATGATGGGAGCGGATGCCTCTGCTCGGGTCGGCTGTCTCTCCCCCCATGCAGAGTAAGCTGGGAGGAAGTAACACTTCCTCCCAGCAGCATTTGCGGCGCAGCCACATTGTTTTTTTAAAAGGGGCCCGGTCGCACTATTACAGCACTGACCGGGCCCCTGAAGATATAGGGCTCATCGGGTGGCCCTAAATGCTTGGGCCACCTGATTGGCCCTGGTGCAGATGCACCTGCGGCAGTTTCAACGCTCCACGTGGGGCCCGGGCGGCTTGGCCCCCCAGGGCCACCGGGCCCGTGACAACCATCATGGTTGTCACCCCCTGATGGCGGCCCTGATCCACCCTTGTCTGCAGAAAGACGATGGACAGCCGAGATCCAATGTGAACAATCTTAATTCTTTAAAATCAGAAACACACATCTAAAGACTCTCCATCTCACCAGTCCCTCAAATTAACTTGCAAATGTCCTCGGTAACACCAGTTTCATTCACTTCTGGATTCCCGGGCTGTAGCGTAAGTACTGGTGGGTGGTTTCTGAAGATGTCCTCAATGTAGCCTAATTGCATGTTTATGTAACTATGCACAGCGCGATGATGCGTTTCGCTTCTCCTGGCTTCCTCAGATCAAGTCCCTTGGTCTGTGTCCATCATTATTTAAAGCAGCCCAGTGGGCATGCCTCAGTTCAAAGTCCGATATTTGGAGCATTTAATTGGTTATATCGTCTACAGCTCAACCGGTCTTGCGAGTCCCTGCACCACATGAAATTGAGCGTTGCCGTGTGGGGGGCTGAAAGTGTTTGGGAATGTTGATAGTGTATGTGTTGACCGTTTGTGTGCGTGGGGATGATAGGGTGTGGGTGGGGGTGACAGGGTGTGTGAAGGGGGCTGTGACAGGCTGTGTGTGCGTGGGGATGACAGGGTGTGGATGGGGTTGACAGGGTGGGGGGTGGAGTGGCTGTGACTGGGAGTGCAGGAATGGAGGATCAGTGACAGGGGGTATGGAGGAGCAGTGACAGGGGGTAGAGGGAGGCTGGAGGCGCAGTGACATGGGGTAAGGGTGGTGGAGGAGCAGTGACAGGGGGTAGAGGGGTGGAGGGGCAGTGACAGAGGGTAGGGGGGTGGAGGGGCAGAGACAGAGGGTGGGGGTGGAGGGGCAGTGACAGGGGGTAGAGGGGCAGTGACAGGGGTTGGGGGTGGAGGGGCAGTGACGTGCAAAAAAAATAAAAAAAATAATGAGTGTTTTTAAACTCAGGACAAAATTTTTAATCTATTTAGCAGGTTTTTTTTTTCACCATATTTATTTTTTCGTAAAGTAAATTATATGACATGATACAGATAATGGTATGTAAAGAACGCCCTCCTTGTCCTGAAAATTATTTTTTTTACATTTGTATGGGAACAGTAAATGAGAGAATAGAAAATTACAGCTAAACACAAACATCACAAAAGTGTTAAAACAGCTCTGGTCCTTGAAGGAGCACTATAGTGCCAGGAAAACAAACTCGTCCCCCCACCCTCAGGGCCCCACTCCCACTTACCTTTCTCCAGCGCCGGGCTCCCTCTGTGCTGGGGAACTCTCCACCACCTAACGACGTCAGACCCGAATGCACATGCATGGCAAGAGCCGCAAACATTTCTCAATGCTTTCCTATGGTAGTCCAGCATTTTCTCACTGGGATTTTCACAGTCAGTAAGACAGCCACTAGAGGCTGGATCAGTGGCGTACATACCAGGGTCGCAGGGGTCGCGGCTGCGACCGGGCCCGGCCCACCAGGGGGCCCGGCCGCCCCTGCGACCCGGTATGTGATTTTCACAGTGAGAATCGCGGAAGCTCCTCTAGCAGCTATCAATGAGACAGCCACCAGAGGCTGGATTAACCCTCAGTGAAACATAGCCGTTTCTCTGAAACGGCTATGTTTTCAGCTGCAGGGTTAAAACTAGAGGGACCTGGCACCCAGACCACTTCATTGAGCTGATGTGATCTGGGTGTCTGTAGTGGTCCTTTAAGTGTGTGTGCATACCGCGGTCGCGGGGTCGCAGCCCTGCAACCCCTGCGACCAGGTGCTCACCGCCATGTGTTGCGGCCCCAACCCGCGCCGAGTAAGCGCAGGGGTGGGGGGGGGGCCCACGGATCAATTTTCGCACCGGGGCCCCATGGGTCATGTGTACGCCACTGGGCTGGATTAACCCTCAGGGAAATATAGCAGTTTCTCTGAAACTGCTATGTTTTCAGCTGCAGGGTTAAAACTAGAGGGACCTGGCACCCAGACCACTTCATTGAGCTGAAGTGGTCTGGGTGCCTATAGTGGTCCTTTAACGTACAACATGGCCAAAACAGTCTGGTCCTGAATGGGTTAAATATATTTTTTCACATATATGCAAATGCAAATTGCACTTTAAATTAATTCACAAGTTGATGTGTTATTTTTACAATACCGAATAAGCACTTTTGCTGTTGTTTGTACTTTTGTTTGGAAATTTGAGTGCACAGAAATGGATGGCACGTTCTTAAAGGCACAGCGCACTTTATTTTCGGTTTGAGAATTTCTATCTAGTGTTCTGGTAGAAAACAAACTTAGTGGGTAATAAGTAAAAAATCACAACAATTACAATCAATAGTATTGTGGATGAAAAGACTCCTCTTAGGTCCTCAAGGCGATATAGACAAAAATACCAAAAGGCAATCTACAATACAAAAGTAATAGAGACGGACATAGGGCAATAATGCTGCAAAATGTGAGTTATAAATTTAAATAATCACACTTACAAACCCATATTGATTGAAGGCATATCATGGATAACGATGTAATAACTTCAGGACTTTAGGAACATCAGTGGCATGCATAGGAAGAAAAAAGAAATAATAGTGCAGAGTATCTTGATGAAATAACACACTTTATTATAAGGAACACTTACAAGATAGAAGTAGCAAACAGGCATATCAAACTCAGTTGGAAACGTATCAGGGTTTAAAGGAGCAGGAAAGCCAGAAGGTAAATAGTAAAATAAATAAATGCATAAAAATAAAATAGAATACAAATACTCTGTACACTAAAGAACAAGCCCTACGCGTTTCGTTCAATCATGAACTTCTCCAGGGGCATCTGGCAAGG